GACGTACATTCTAATATTCCAGGTGTTCGAGAATATTTGCAAGCAGCCACAAAATAGTTGTTCTTCTAAAAATGCCATGTACATATCCTATCATGGCAAAAGTTCACAAGTAAGAAGCCAGTGTCTTCAGAGGTCGGTGAAAATGCTTACGGATATCAATGAGAACATGACTCATCAGCCATCGCTTTGAACCCAATGTTCCGCTTCAGGTGCCTAGCCAACACCACATGTAGCTCCGTATACTGGGAAAACGATCAGTGTGTGATCTCTGCCAAGCCGAGGCAGTCTCCGAAAGTTATTGAAAAAATATGCCCGTCTAAAGACGAGCTTGATCTTGGTCGGTACAACCAAATATTGACTAACTGCTTAGCTTTACCTAACAAAATCGATTTTAGCGGTACTATTCGAGGAAACTGCTGAGTGCCCAAAGCGAGGGGACAGCGGATTTACGCTCGGTCCGATTGGATTCAAAGACTGCATGCAACTTTGCCTGACACATCCAACTCGGAGGTACGTATGCTCAGAAAAAGTTCATGGACTTCTTTCATTATTTTCGCGAATCACAAAACATAAAATGTGAAATACGGGAACTGAAGAATTGATGGTGCTCTGCAGACAATTGCGGTGCTGTCCATCGGTGTAATTTGTAGCCCTGACAATGAGCTCTATTCAATAAAAAACTGTAGAGGATCAATGGAATCAGCAGCCAGGACAATAGCTCGTTGTACCAAGTCTAACGAGATGAGGTAGCATTCGAAATCTTTGGAAGTGGTCGTATTTTAAAATTTTCAGGGGGAGGGAATGATAGGATTTGAGGTTCTTGGAAGGAGGGCTATTTTAGAGGGACGTTTTCACGTGTGGAATATTCGACAATTTTTGCTGAAGGATCAGCAGAGAAGCGTAAAATAAGGAAAATCGGAGCATTTGATGTTTTCTCAGAGATATTTATCTTCTCATATTCTCCTCTGCTCGACGATGAAAGAAGCGTGGGCGGAGTTGGAGTTTGTCCACTGGTCATAATAGCAACACCCGTGGTGGTGTTTTTACCTCATTTCATTTGCTACTATTGTACAAAAGTTGGCGACGTATTATCATAAGAAATTGGAAACGGAGATACAATAGGAAATATTTAAGAAGTTATAATATATAGGGAGAAAACCAATTCGAAGGCAGTAATTAGTTAGCATAACACATCTATCAAAGGCAAAGTCCGGGATTGAACTGGTGCTATCAGCGCTCTGTAGTGATAGCTTAGCTGCGGAACGACCTGAAAGTGGGAAGGAAAGCAAGAGAAATCTTTGGGAACGCTGAAATTAAGGTCTTACCTTTAATTAACAGGGTCCAATGTGGTACGATAGCGAGGAAGGGCGGTCAAAAAAGCCCGAGTGAGCCCGTCGTTTGAGAGAGCACCTGATCTCTACATCAATGCACGCTGATCTCACCACATCTCGCGGTGGGTGGGAAGCGTTGGAAGGTCGATGGTTGCAGGCCCGTAAGGATTAGCGCCCTAACCGCGCAATTTTTGCGACGAAGCTGGAGTGATCTAGGTAGGTACGGACCTTACAATTTCCCTCGTGGTATCCCTCCTACTAGTCGGGCTAATCCCGGGGTTTGCCTTTAAGGAAATCGAATCGTACAAGAAAAGGGAGGGGTTGAGAAAAGGGGCCGTCTGGAAGGGGAAGGGAAATGACCGACCAACATTCTTAGCTACTTGGGAGAGTGTACTGCTCCGAATACCAACTTAGTGGGTCGGACAACCCCTCGTATGGCTGCCATGTAGGAAGTGTGGCATTCTAGGGCAATTAAAGTGGGGCTCGTGAATTCTTCAGGTATTGGCGCAACGGACCTGAATCTGCCTGTAGCAGAAAGTGCGAGGCACTTGATATTAAATTTTATAGTACAAGCCATAAACGGCTCGGAAACCGGAAGACCATGAGGAACGTAGGCGATTCCATGAAACTCCCCTGTCCCATACTGTCAAGGGATCGCGTAGAGCGTGCCGCCACATTGGCTTGAAGTGAGCTGGCTGATCAGATGCTGAATGAAAGCGAGAAGCGTTTTTTGCGTAAACATTGGTTCTATGCTTTATTTTCTTTACTCTAATTCACCGACGTGAGATACATGCTCAAGGATGAGAAAAAACTGAAAGCTATCATTAGATCCTGTTCCCAATAATAGATTTGCAGTTGCGAAGCCATCAGTTTCTATTCGGACGGAAAATGTCGACTTCTAGATGGTATGGCTCCTATAAACTCCTCCAACGAAATGGATAAAACTTGCAAGCATTTCAAACTCAATGTGATCGCTTTCGAGAGAGGTAGGCTACCTTGTTTCAGTCTCTTGTCGAGAAAAAAGGACTTTGTATAATAGAATAAAAAAGTGGAGGAAATGTCCGAATCCTTAGCAATATTGACGACTTTTTCGAATACCATGTGAAATCAAATTCATTTGCAGGAAAGAAATCCAACGACAGAAAACCAAGGAAGAAGGCTCATAAATCTAAGAGAACAAAAACCAGAGCACACTCTGCTAACAAGAAGGACCAGGTAACAATTGTCCTTTCCAATGTTCCAAAAGAACCACAAAAGAAAGGGTCATAATTGAAATACATCGGCGCTAAAGCAGGTGCCTGCAGTGGACTTTTCATGATTCCCTCACTCGCGCACCCGCTGGGAGTTGAAACAACTTTGATGTGCCTGCTGAAATAATTTTCGCATTTTTACGTGATATGACTTCGGCTAATGTAGTCGACAGGCTCGGGCTGTCGTAGGCTTCCTACTTAGAGGAATGCGTGATCGTCTCCGTGAAGCCTGCTCAGCACTGTCTTGTAGCCTCCGGAAATAAACCGTCTACACCTTCGGGGATTTACACAAGCGCTAACAATGGCAGGGCTCAGGAATTCAACCATGGCGCTGGTAAAAACTTAGGAATAACGCTTTCTGGATGGCATCACCTTCCTCTCTACAAAAGTCCCAAACCGCTAACGATAATCTTTTCGAATTTTCACCGCGCGCCACCTTGCCATCATTTCCAGACGTGGGAATCAGGGTCAACCCGTTTGTGCATACGTCCAACGGAAGGTGGGGGTCCGTATTTGGGGGTGAAACGAAGGGGGTCGATTTCGAGCTAAGTGTTAAATGTTACAGTAAGAAGGATGATGTTTCATCGAACGGAACACGATTAGTGCTGTAGCTGGATTTTGGTGACGTGTTAAATGTGAAAACATGTCAGGCCGTTTCTCATTCGTTTCACCTTCATAGAATGAAATTACTATAGGATCGCCCCTCCTGAATGGCGATGCAGGCGAGGTGGTGAAGGATGGCCCTTGAAGATTAACCTGAGGGGGGGGTCGCAAATAATACTTCGGTCTGGACGCTGAACCGTTTGACCCTGCGTGGGATCCTTCGACCAAGGTGAATATTGTTTGAAGATTCCTCAGGCCGATGTCATAGTTTGCGATTCGAGCGCTGGATCCAAGCGTTGCGCCAGCGAATCGAACGTTGCACCAGCGAGTCGAACTATGTACCAGCGAGTCGAACTAGGTACCAGCGACTCAATAGTGGCGGGACCCAACGTTCAAAGGAAGCCTCGCCACTTTCAAAAAAGGTCACTGTCACGTGACACTGTTTGAAAGTGCGGGCTTCCTTTTGAACCTTGGGTCCCGCCCCTGAGTTGCTGGTACATCATTCGACTCGCTGGTACATATTTAGTTCGACTCGCTGGTGCATAGTTCGACTCGCTGGTGCACGGTTGATATAGCTGGCGCAATCGCAATCGGGGCATACCCTCCGGATCCAGGCTTCGCAAACTATGACATCGGCCTCAACGGCACGTCGAGGATTCTCTGCCCGGTCAGACACGATCTCTCGCGCGGACATTCACACTCGCCATGGCGTGCCGTCTGTGCTCTCCGCGCGGATGTTCACTCTCGGCACTACTCTCGCATGGTAGAGAGCTATGGTCGAGGAAATCCTCGACCGTTATTCGCCCTGCCCCCGATCCACCTCTCCCCGTCCCCACCACATACCCTCTCACCACGACTTTTCATAGTATCTAAATTGCAAGTACGACTTCCTTGTACAAATATCAGCGGATGATTGAACTTGCATTCCGTCACCTGCACTACGGTGAGCATTGAATATTCTAGCGCTTCAAATCATGTTTCAGCTCCACCTTGAAATCGAACAAAGACTCTAGAAGTGGTAGATATGACATATTAATAATTGTTGGAAGTGCGAACTCTACACATTTCATTTTCTCACATATCAACGACCCCTTCCCCTTTTGCAATTGGACCTCTCTAAGCACCTCGAAAACGACTCCCTATTTTGAAAAATCATAATTACGACCTTTCTCCCTTGCTTTTTACCTGCAGGAGGATGGCCCTAGCAGGACACCTGATAAACGTGGGCACTAACTGGCGTCACCCCACCAGCACTGCACCGTTTCCATGGGTTGCTTTAACATCGAAGTTACCGTGGAAACTGTGCACATTCTCATGATTTGCGCACGCTTCTGGACCCGCGTGCGGAAAACGTAATGGCCTTGGAGCGAGACAGAGCCCTGGCATGCAGCGCGCGCCTGGACGACCGTCGCGTGCCACGACAGCTTCTTTGTTGTAAATGATGCTGATGAGGGAGAAAAGGACTCTGAAACGAGGGGCCATACCCACTAAGCTATGTGAGATGACGAGCATCCGCGACAGTGGGTGTGCACATTGGGCTATGGCTCTGTAACGGCTTAAGTAGGAACCGCAAGCGTCGTTTGCAAAATGAGGTTTAGGGGACTTTTTGAAGTTTCTAAATTAGTACAAGAATAGTAAAAGAAGGGATAGTCTGTAGAATTATCACTTTGATTTTAGATAAAGATCAGGAGCGAGCCCTTCACACAAGGCGCTATTGAGCTGGATGTTCAGACAGTATGCAACTATGACGGAATCATTATCAAGGTTTGTGCACCTTCTGTCTATGTTCACGAGGCAGAAGTCGCTCATTAAGGGAGCACTCAAGAGGTGTACTCATGGAAGGTTTCCACCACATCTATAACTCTCAACCCTAGTAGACTGGTCTAGGATAAATCGCATAAAGCCCTGTACTTGCCTGGTAGAGCAAGCTCTAGTCTGGTTCTGTTTCTGCCGCATTGTGGTAGAATTCCGGGACCATCTCAGCCGCTGACATTACTACATGGCCCTTTCAATTCTGCTGATCCTTGCTATCCTATCTTCCTTGACCTTCACTTAGACAATAATCAAGAACCATGGAAAACAATTGAGAAAATTAAGGTGTTTTCACCTGTGCACATCAGTGGCGAAGTTTTCCCACGAAACGCTCACGAGAACTGCTCCATCGCCATCAACGGAACGGAGGCCCAATTGAAGATGCTATTCAGTTCGCAAAGTTGCTCTATCTCACGGGTATAAGCTCTTATTAACCTTTTGACTTTGATTCTGCTGAACACTAGTCAGAGATTTGCAGAACGGTTTTGTGTTCGAAAATGTGATTGTCGTCAAGCAGAACAATCTGAGTGAAATGCCCGTCATTACAGAATACGATAAACTCTATCGTATCTCATGTGATTATAGTAATCAAACCACGAAAATGTCTGCTACCAGTGTTTTACAAGTGAAGTGGGTTCTTTGAAAAATTATGTTTTGTGATGGAATTCATTTACTTGAGGGCATTATAGAAATATGGGCGAAGTGTCTATTCATCCACATGGGAAGATTCCATACAATCCGATGAAGATGGAGCTGCGATCAAAAAGGAAATCCGAGGTTTGACTCTTTTTTTTCCGAAAACTGGATGGTGTGCCTTTAGGTCTTGCCTCAAGCGCCGATTCTGTCCATCAGTCTTCCGCCTGTTGCTCCTCCTAAAATGAATTGAATTACGATTCATCAAAATTGGTCGTAAGAACTATTGCACTACTTCAACCCCAGTAAGGGGCGAGATGGGTCAAAAGAATTTTTGGCCCCAAATAGGAGCCATTCAGCGCCACGAATGATTCTCACCAAATTTGCTTCAAAAATTGTGTGTAGAGCTTTTTTGCGGTTCTGATTACGAATATGCCACTTGTTTTTGCCGTTGGCCCAAGTGAGAGAGTCAGGTAAGCAGAAGGTCAACATCAAAAGTATCACCTGTATCACCTGTCGTCCCGTTGATCATCGAATTGCTCGAGCGGGCGCCAGCAACGTCTCCATTCGTCCCTGTCGCGTGCTAGAGTGGTCCAGTGGATCCTCCTCGCTCGAGGGACACGAAGTCCTTCATTCCTTTCGTTCAGAGCTTTCGTGAAGAAGTCTGACCATCGGGCCGGCGGTCGTCCAGGTGTTCGTTTGACGTCCCGAGGGATCCAGTCGGTAACCGCTCTGGTCCAACGGTCATCGCAAAATCGCATGACGTGTCCGGCCCACCTTATCTTCGATTCCTTGGCGAAAACGGCAGCGTCCCTGATCTTCGATCGTTGGCGTAGTTCGAACTCCGGATTCCCCTCTGCACTTGCGTGTATAGGGTTACTCCTAGCATCGTCCTCTCGACAGCGCGTTGGATAACGCTGACCGCATGCTCGTCCTGCCTGCGCAGAGTCCAAGTCTCTGAGGCGTAGGTTAGGGCAGGAAGGACAGCGGAATCGAAGAGGTGGGCACGGAGCCGGATGTTCTTCGTCTTCTTCACTACTCCCTCGATGTTCTTGTACGCTCCCCAAGCCGCTCGTTTCCTCCTGCTCAGCTCTGGAGCTAGATCGTTCATCATATTGATTTCCCGACCTAGGTACACGTAGCTGGAGCATTCGGTGATGTTCGTTCCGTTGAGCGTGAATGGGGCATCAGGAACCAATCCGTTTCTCATAAACATCGTCTTCGTTAGGTTCAGCTGTAGATCAAAGAGCGTGGATGTCAAAAACAATTGTCATGTTCGCAACCAGGACTCCAATTACCCCATAGACAAGTTCACAGCAAATTTGGTGAAAACATCTATGGCGCCAATATGGCGCCAGCGTTGAGAATGGATGTCATATTTGTGATCAGGAGCCTCGGTAACCACCACGGGAGAAGTGTTTGCTGGAAATATTTTTCCCCCATCGCACTCCCACTGGGGTTGTAATAATGCAAATGATGATAATGATTTATTATCGGATTTCCATTTACAATAATTGGAAAGCCAAGTACAAAGGAAATTTCCGATAAGTACAAAAAAAGAATGAAAACAAGTCTTGTAAAGGGGGCATGAGGGAGGGAGTGGATAGTCAGCGCAGAAGGGCAGTTGCCGCCAACATTGCAAGCTTGAGCTCCGGATACCTGCTCAGTAGGTCCGCCAACTTTGCCATGATCCGACTCCCTGGAGGCTCCAAAGGGAACAACCGATTAACAGAACGCCAATCAAGAATAACAGAACAAAAAATTACTGTAACAAAACAACCATTAAGTACCGTATACTCTATAAAATCAACACTATAGATCGCTTCCATGCCTCTAATTGTGATCAAAGTTCAGCTCGCATTCTCAGAACCAACCTCGAGAAATCATAATTCTCCTCACTTTGCTTCTAAATGAGCTAGGTGAACTTGAGTTAATGACAGAAGGCGGTAACTCATTCCAGAGAGTGATAACCACCTGTAAAAGAACTTTGAAATTCTGTTGAATCAGTTTTTCCCTTAGAATTTTATAGTTAGGACCCCTAGTTCGAAAAATTGTTGAAGATAATGTGCCAAATTTTCTTCTCGAGAACAATTCTCATGATACAAGAAGTTCCTAAGGTAATCAGTGTATACAAGTCTTTCTGTTGCTTTCAGGTTAGGACCGTGATTCTCGGTCAAAATGTTGATTTGAGAATCGATGACGATGACAATTTCGGTAGTAACTATACGGTTACCACCTGCATAGCACGAGATCGCAACGACCGTGAAAGTCTCACTATCATCGAGGACGGGTGAGAAGTTCTGCCTCACTTCATCTTTACAATATTCACACGTGAGGTATGGAAGGACAAAACTCTTGGCTTCAATATATCCTTGGCTACTAGCCAAGCACATAGAACCATTTATATTAGTGGGTAGTGGAGGGCTTTACAATTGTAACCTAAGGTCAAGGGGGCCGTTGCGGCTGTATTTTTTGACAGCGTCCCTAACAACAGTGTCATTCTCAACGAGGTATTAAGGGAGAAGGAGCGAGCGATAGGATGGAGGAGGTGCCTTTGCAGCGCGTGCGCACATGTGGCAGTCTTCTTTGCGGGGATGCACTTTCATTCTTTACTGCCTTCAAATACGCCCTTCTCATGAAGGTGGAGGAATGGAGCGACTGAACCTGCAAAGAAAATTTTTTTTTCAGATGTTTTCATTTTCTGCTGCGCTATACCCTCTTACCTATCTGCACCATGATACCACTGTTACTGACCCCCAAGAGTACGACCCCCCATGACCCAGCCCTGACAGGTACGACCCCCCTGTCGAGGATTTCCTCGACCGATATTCACCCTGCCTGGGATTTCATACAAAATCGGATACCTGAAACTCCCTTTCGCCAAGGGCTTGCATGGCAATCGCAAGGAGGATTGTTGAAAGTGAAGAGCCAGCAAGGTGGCAGCCGTTTTCGTCATACGACAAGAGGAACAGGTGTGACAAACTGGTCCGCAACTATACTTTAATTAGATATGAGTGTCTTCCGCTACTCCACTTCGATTAGATAGGGTGGCCCCCCGAACTATGTACATTTTCGCCTCACCGTCCTAATAAATGGGGCACTATTTTGTTCCGACAGTTGTTATTTTTCATTATACCTGCTTTATTTGCCTAGCCTTGTTTCGCTTTGAAGGGTTGTTTTATTAATTCCTAATTTACTGTACATGCGTCTTGCGTGAAAAAATGAAAAATGAATGAAGTAGTTGGTTATCCGATAAGGTACATAATCCGCAGAATCTCTATTTTTTCTGTCTGATCCAAACCCTATCATCTTATTGTATGCTGCATTCCAAACTGAACTGCAACTTTCTTGAAAAATTTCACTTTTTAAGTTGTGCAACGCGATCGGCCAGCGAATATATTGTGAGAGGCGCCGTTCGAAGAGAATCAAAAGGATTTTCGATACCTTTGCGGGCGTTTCGCTTCAGAGAGAGTGACTCTGTGAAAATATCCTGCCGTCTGGAAATCTGCGATGATCTATGTGAACCGGTAAGAATGTTGCCGCAGTCACTGTGTCTGTGCCGGGAAAAGACGAAAAATTATCGTTGTTGTAGAAGGATTGCTCGAAGCACGCAAGAAGACGTCGCTATCTTTCAACAGACAAGTTGGGATTCGATTCCAATCATGGTGACGAAGTCCAGATTTCATTACTCGTAAGAAATGAAGCCATGCCTGCAAGTCAGTTACCATTTTCATTTGTGAACATTCTTATAATGAAATATGTAAAACATAACATATGCAGTTCTGTAGACGTGAATGGCGTCAACACAGCTGCTATTGACGCCATTCATGTTTATAGTTGGGCCTGGACGTAGGCGTAATCATATGCATTGCTTGGCGTCTTTGCAGCTGTTTCATCATTTAACCTTTTTGTAGAGGAGCAGTGCATTCAAATTGATTGTCATCGCAGAATCTCGCAAGCGCTGGCCAGCGGAGAACCACAGGTCACACGGAAACCCCTAGGTAAAAGGGGCGTGACGAAAGGTTCGTCAGTGACGCTGGAGCACTGAAAAAAAAGAAGAAAAAACAAGGACAACCTCTTCCACCTCTTTCACCTCGACATGGATAAGAGGCCTGCTACGTTGACATTCTGCAGCAAGTTCGCCGACGCAGCTGCGGCCGTGTTATTCCTGCACAGCAACGTGGCACCCGACAGCGGAATGGGCGGCTTACGGACGATGTGGGTCACAGGTAGACCAAACTGAGCACATCTGTCGCGCACTTTTGAGCCGCGAGATGGATATCAACGCTTGTCTACCTGTCTACCACGATCGGGCTAAAACATCTGAATGCTTAATCGCGGACCGTGCCTTCAAGACGATTCTTTCAACCGCTCCTTCGCTGATGTCTGAAAGATGTACCTTTTCCAACAAGCGACTTGTTTAATACCCTATACAAACTTTTAAACAACACCTTTGTACAGGAAACACCGAATTACAACACAAGAATCATGATGACGTTTTCTGCAAAGACGCCTACCCTTGTTCATGTCATAAGTTTGTTATCAACTGTGTCGTCGTCAGAACCTTTCATATCTGTATTCATGTCTTCCACACCATCAGAGTTTCGGAAATGAGATGTCGCCAAGCTTATGATCTTTTTCTGGTCCACTTTTATTGACGTTCGTCGAAAATTCCTTTGTAGTCAACTTTCGACCGCTCATCCGAGGATAATGTCAGGGACATAAAAACTAAAAGACACAAAAGCATTAACATTGGGCGACTCTCAAAAAATTGTTCTCGAAATTACACATACTGAAAAGCGATTTGGGCTAGTATGACTCCCTATGATTGAGATAGTACTTTTGACTACTGGCGTTACACATGTGTACCAGTAGTAGTTGAAGGTACTATTTCAATCCAAGAAGCCTGTTATTTGCAACCAACCGTTCCCAAAAGCGGAAGTCAAACAGCTGAAGGCGACAATGAACCAGCAGGTGGCTACTCTCGGAGAGGCAGCGAGTAGGCATAGATCGAGCGTGGCCACCAATGACTGGGAAGGGTTTGTAGATTGCTGCAGTCGATGTAATGTGATGTAACGGGCGGTTTGGCTTAGCAGTAAACCTCGAAGAGATTTCTGCTAATTTTCGCTTGATGTTGCTCGTACTCGAATTTCCTTCAGTGGGCTAGCTGTCGAACAGTACGCGCTTTTGAGGGTAATAGCTTCTGAGGGCAACATATCCGATATACAGAGTGGCTGTATAGGATGCGAATTTGCCCGCTTGCTTGTGTCGAGCCGTGGGGTGTTTTCGGAATCTTTCAAAATTCTCCGGGATCTTTGAAGCAATGTAAGAAGCAGCATAAGTTATTTGGTTCAAAATCGACTGGTTTCTCGCTATGAAGTATTCTTCGCATCAAACCATGATCGAGAGACTGCCCAAGGACGGTCTCCGAAGTTGCAACCCCTCAAAGCAACTCGATACTCCTCTTCAACTCTTCGAAACATCTTCGCTACTCTCAAGGATCAGCAACACAACCTCTGTGATCGCAACAAGTTGAAGGTCGAGAACTGTGCGCGCTCAGAGGATTAGGGCAACCTAGAAGAAGGCCACTCACAAGGATGAAGCCAGCGTGAGACCACATCACTTTTAACCTCAGAATCTGCCGCTAATAACACCAATATATCCTGGAACTTACTCTGTTGTAGGAAGTTACCGTCTCTATTTCATCTGGTTTTTATTGAAGCACTAATTCGGGATGAACTGCAAAAAATTTTTGCACGAGCTTGAGGCTGCCGCATCACTCCTACGATATGAGCTAATGAGAAATTTTGAAGGTCTTTTTCGGGGTCAGAAGCATTGTTGCGACGAAATATGCGCAAGTCAGTGAGATAATATTCTGTTATTAGCAGACTTTCTCACGAAGGTGTGGTAGTTTGTGACAGGTAACATCCAAAAGTGCAGCTCCATTGGAGTTCATCTTCCACAAATGTTAAAATTAAGTCGAAGGTCTTGCAAAAGACTTTTGAGGTACAGTATGTTGTTCTGCACTTACTAGCATCCTGCTGAGCGACCATTCGCTTTCCAAGGAAGTTGAGCTCCCTAATCGGCTCTGATCAAATTGAAAGCTCCCTGAAGCTGAGCTTTCAACGTGATTAGAGCCGTTTGTATGCGCACTTCCTCGGCCTCTGAAGCATGGATTTGTTGAGATGGGGATGCGAGGCTTGGGGCAACATTGCATTGCCGTTGGCTACCTGCGACGCGCTGACTCTGTCGTTGGACTTCAAAAGGCCTCCCTCAAAGCAGAATCGTGGAACTAAGAGCACCTTTGCCATAGAAAGCCCATGACCCAACTCTATCTTTCTGTAAAGTTGTTTTGATGATTTGTTCGTCTTCCTGACTTACACTCAGGAACATGGCGTCCTATATCTTACCAGCCACCCTGTACATCCACATCTCGGCGTCTGCGTGGATTGTCTGCAGATTTGTGAATACTCAATTACTTATGTGACTAGCAACGAATACTTTTTCAACTGCAAGCAGCATAATTTCCACTTTATTGGGCTCTCCTATTTACAAATAAGTCTGCTAAGGCCAAATAGCATTGAAAAGCGGCAAAAAGTAATTGAAGAACAGCTCTGCGACAAATATCCTGTGGTCTGCTTATCAGCAAGTCCGTAGACGCACCTACTCAAACCCGAACGTGCGTGTGCTCAATGCAAGCTTCATCGATTTATTTTCTGTCCCATGAAGCACATTATAAATGTTTGTCAAATGAATGGAGAGATGGGGGTCTCCTTCCCGTGAGGTCGACCGTAATACAACGAAAAGGCTTATCATACACGTTTCTTCTGTTAGATTACAAAACTGGTCAAAATGTTCAATTTTCAGAATCCTATTGCGTCACACGAACCAGCTTCATCTCAGTTTCATCCATCGGCTCCTTAACACTGCTCGTGCAATTTGTGGTGCTATTGAAGATTTTTCAAGGACGTCGGAAACGTCTTCTGTAGAATGTTAACTGATAAATTATTGATGTAGTAAACTGCTGATAATTAAATTAATAAGATCGATCATGGAGTAAAAATTCAAAACTGAATTCCTTGATTTGTTGTGACTCGAAGTTTCCTCTTTCAAGAATGACTGATACCGCAATTGACAGTACCCTGGTGCACAAGTCGATTTTGTGATTTTTCAATTTTTTTTTCTCGAAAGAGAATGGTGCTCCAAGCAAACGATTTCGGCAGCATAACTTTGAGTTCCTCTCATTCCAGATTGTTTGCTGGACATAATACATACCCAAGTATTCTACATGAGCAACTATATGTGCCGAGGTGTTTATTTTCCTCGCTCACTCTAACCATAGATGGCGATATGCGCCACCACCTTTCTAACATCGCCGCTCAGAATTACATCGTATGTGCTCAGGAGAAAGCACTGGTTTTTCTCGCATGAAGTCTAACAACGGAGGAAATTTCGACAGCAACATAATGGTACGCCTTCCTGCTGACTCTGTGACATCAGGGACTTTGGTGGATGAGTTGGAACTACAGCTGCCAGCTTCAAACACTGCAGGGCAGAAACTCTAGATGAATGATTGCTCCTTTTTTTACAACCAATTAAAGGTTTCGAAATCTCTGAATCATAGGTGACCACTTACCCGATGGTATCCTTTAGAATGCGCGGTAGCAATCATAATCGTAAGGACCTTATTGCAGGGAAAGGACAACAGTCCAAGATCTGCTTGGTATGCGAAATCTAAATGCATTCGCAATGTTTCACGGTTTACACCTGTGCTGCTTCTACCTCTATTTTCATGAAATTTCCTTTCACTATAAAGGTATATTCTAGTCCTAGAATAACTTCCAACCAAATTCATTGCTTATCGTTGAAGGGACTGTATTATTGGGTTGTCCCATAATTTGGCCGATTTTGTTCAAATTCAATTTTCTTCATGTCAAATTAGCTTCATAATGAAATAAGTTGATATGTTGAAGAACACATCAGGACCTTCAGCCAGGATGTTTCAGAAGCTCAAATGCGCAACGGGATAATTAAGTAGGAATAGATCAACGACCAAACCCAACGATTATGCCTTACGACAATTTTAAGAAGAACCTTGCAAGGAGCGCGGTAGGCAAGATCAGCGCTACGTTTGCCCCAGTCTTTGCTACTGATCGGGCACTGAGCTATTGGCTCAATAGCATCGGCAAAGCGATAGGAGCTGCAAAGTTCGACCTCATCATGGACCCCAGTCACTTTCGATGAGGACCCCTTGCGCTACGAATAGGAAGTGCATCCGGACGCTATTAGCAGGAAACTGTAGCAAACATCTGGGCGCAGCCTACGCTCCATGAATCGACACCTAAATGGAGTGCACTGTAAAGTTTCGAAGGAAGCCTCATGCATCGACTGACCATAGCTGGGATGCATGTCCGCCAACTGCGAAAGTTTCATTCCAGGCCCGCATAGACAGGATTTCTTTAGTTGGTCACCAGTGCAGATGAGTCGGAGTCTACCACGATAACAACACGCGGCACGCCGGTGGCTACCTCGCAGCCTGGACGCACCATCTCAACCAAAGCCCGAGCTCTTTCATCAGAGGATTGACCCCCGTTTTGTTGGATTCGCTGGGTATCCCGTTTTGAGAACCATTTCACTTTATGCAGACAAGCATTGCGAAGGTAACCATGGAATAGCTTCCGAAGTTGGCCGCAGCAGTGCGGGAGAACGGTTCGAAACGTCTCAAAATCTCCTTTCGGAGGACCGCCCGAAATCACATTGCAAAGATAACTCGCCACGTTTCGAAGGAAACTGGCTGGACCACGACCACATCTGTCGTATAGCCCTTACGTTGCTCCATCGTACTATCTCCCCAGCCCCCTGAAGCAGCAGCTAGGAGAGGAAAAAGTCAGTAAATACAACCACCCCAAAACGACCTCTCCGAGCTTTTCATCTCACAGCTTCACTCGTTCTGGGAGGAATGCATCCATTCGTTCCCTAGCAAATGGATGCATATCAGTGATTATGATGGTGGTTATGTTTTTGATTATTGCTTCTCAGGGAAGATTAAACTTGAATGAATCAAAGTGTTGGAATTCGTCAGAAATATGGGATATCCCAATATACTCATACGGTTTGCTATACGAGCATCACGAAATCGAAAATGATGCCTGTAGCGAAGGATATGCTAGTGAATTGAAGAATTTTAAGAACATACATTATGAATGGAATGAAATGGTGCCCCGGTAGCGTAACTGGTAGCGCACTTGCCCGGAAAGCGAGAGGTGCGGGTTCTAGTCCCGCCTGGGGCGAAAGTTTTGTTCACAACCCAGCATTCTTGTGAAATGAAACTAGGATTCAGCAAGCTCATTAGGAACGCCTTGCTGAGATGAAGACTGACGATGATTGAGATTTCTGAGAATCTGCAAAACTCATAGCACATCCAATAGCGATTCCCCTCTATGGATTTTACCAATCCTAGGTCTATTTGGTTGGATGGTCTACTCTATCCGTCAATTGCTTCTACCACTCCCATATTTTCCCTTTATCTAAGTTGTTAGGGAACATTACTGGAACAGTGATTAGTGGGCGAAAAAGATTCTCAGCAATGTCTAAACGTATCTAATCGTTGCAGTAGGGTCATTTTTCTGGAGAGAAAATGGAAATCCACTGTGTCAATTGCTTATGCCATTCTGTCATTGTTGCAATTTCTCAAATCTGCGCAGTTCTACCGCCTTCTGTGGGTATGTGGCAAGATGGCGAAACTCATAGTAGTGCACCATGTCTGAGGGTCATCGTCTATCTCTAACAGAACAAAGTCAAATTTATTTCTTCGGCGAAACAAGACAGCAACCAGGGTCAACAACTCGACCGAATAGGGGCTGTATCGACGGTTTCGTTAAGAATCCTGCGGTTCACAGTCGAGGACACGGGGAAGAACGTCGTCGCAAACTGACACAGGCCGCGAAATATGTGTCGCTGGATCAGCTTTTATTTCATCTTACTGTCTCCTAGTGAAATCCCTGAACGACTTTTACTAAATGCATCGACCACCGTTTTGCGAGCCATTCATCGTCGTACGTTCTAGGGAGGCATTAGATAAAGAAAGCGCCTTGTCTGACCAGGACCCAGATAATGAAGATGTTCTTCAGCGCAGCCTGCTTCCTCTTCAACAGTCACAACGAAACAACTCTTGTTTCCAACAAGATAGCGTCTCGCAGTCGACTTGTAAATGTCTAGGAGATCACCGCGGATATTATAGACTAGTTCTCATGCTCCTTTGACCTGAACTCTATGGACAGCCTCTTGGTAGTTTTGTGCACGAGAACTTCGCCGCACGAGTCCAGTGTGCAGCTTCCCTTGAGAAGAGAAATTCTTAGTGATGGGATTCAATTACAGGCGATGTTATTCGAAATTTTTCTGGATGTGTTCCAAATATAATAGAATGTTTGACGTTACTCGTAACACAGTTCTGTCACAGACAAGACACACAAGCACACACAAGCAAGTCACTCGATAGAGGGGTAATCACTTTTTGAGCATTGTGAGAAACCGGATAGATGATGTTTTTCCCCAGGGATGACAGAAGGTGATGTTCTCGCAAACAGCGCTGCGCGACACGCTTTAGACACTTTTCAAAGTGCTGTTTTCTTCTGTGCCAAACAGGTTGTTATGGTGGAACACGTTTATTGGTCAACGTTTCGACAAATCGTCGTCTTCAGGACCTGAAACTGGTTCGAAGTCCTAGCTCTGTAGCTCACCCGGTAAAGCGCCTAATCTTGCTGAGTTCTAACGCAAAATAATACAAAATAGACGATACCAGCGAACGAACTAACCTGTTGTGGATCCACCAGTTTCTAGCAGCCTCCTCGTGTTAGTGAGCAAATAAAATGAGACACCTATTGGACAGTCAGCGTCCTACGTGTCGTATGTGGTGATCTTATAGTCCACATAAAGGAATGAAAGGCAAGAATTCATTGGTAATGGCCATGCATTCATTCCGGTTGTTCAGTCTCGGATTTTTAACGCGGATATATAGCGCCTCTAACATTTTTCTAGCACCGATGTCGCTTTCATGAGCTAGAATTTTGCATTTTATTTCAAAATCACTACCCTGATGTTCTTCTGCTCGGTGCTTGCCAAGAGGAGTAAGAAGATTTCCGCGCCTTTTCCCAGCCATATGTTCTTTAACACGTACGCCCAACATCCTGCCCGTCTCTCCAATATAAAGTCCGTCACAGGTTGAACATGAAGTTGGTATACTATCCCTCTCCCTATATCCCTTTTTCAAAGTGGTAGCGAAAAAACAGCTCAAAGAAC